AGATGAATATATTTAACTGTTCAGCCCTTATACTCTACTACAAATATTCCCTGGCTAAGCTTCTGCCTTGTTTGTTTTCAGTACTACCTTTGACGACTTGGCCATGTTACTCTGTTCACACAGTTAATTACCATCTACTGGGTATAATAGGGCTATACAGGGAAGCATGAGATACATAACAATGTGTTAACAGGTAGATCCTGTCATAAAAAGATTTATAATCTCAAAGGATTTTTATGGTGAAATATATATCAAAAAGTTAAAGAATAATATAAGGGTTAACATCTTAGTTCTTGTATTCTCTAATAATGCCTCAAAGGCTGCTGAGGAATCTAGAAGGAAGTCAAGGGATTGAAGATTTCCATTCTGCTCCTTGAGTACATAAGACTTCTGGTTTCAAAAGGGAATCTACTCCATATTATTTTTGTAAAATGAATTTCATTATTAGAAATGATTTATTTTTTATTTTTATTTTTTTTAAGATTTTATTTATTTATTCGTGAGAGACACAGAGAGAGGCAGAGACAGAGGCAGAGGGAGAAGCAGGCTCCATGCAAGGTGCCCAATGTGGGTCTTGATCCCAGGACCCTGGGGTCACGCCCTGAGCTGAAGGCAGATGCTCAACCCCTGAGCTGCCCAGGTGCCCAGAAATGATTTTTTTAAAACAAAGATAATGACAGAAATGAGAAAATAAGTGGTTGATAAGTAGTATACATGTAATGGCATAATCTCATTGGAATGATTTTTTACAATGGTCAATTATAACTTCCAGGACAGAGCTGCAAGTTCAGAAATACAAGGAGTAGAATTCTCTGGCATCATCAAATAGGAGTGGGGAAGGAAGGAAGGAAGGAAGGAAGGAAGGAAGGAAGGAAGGAAGGAAGGAAGGAAGGAAGGAAGGAAGGAAGGAAGGAAGGAAGGGAGTTGTGAAGATATGGGGACCTAAAATTCATTCCATAGTATAATGACTGTGAAGACAACACCCTAACAAAGGCCACAGAAGATCCCACAACAAGCAGCAGGGTTAGAATGTATGACTTGACAAAAAAATTTTTTAAAAGATTTTATTTATTCGTGAGACACACACACACACAGAGGTAGAGACACAGGCAGAAGGAGAAGCAGGCTCCAGGCAGGGAGCCCGACATGGGACTCGATCCTGGGTCTCCAGGATCACGCCCTGGGCTGAAGGCAGGCGCCAAACCGCTGAGCCACCCAGGTATCCCCTGACTTGACTAAATTTGAAACCAGGGAGCAGAACTTAGATCATATACTCAAGATCATAACCCTGAAGATTATGTAGCAAAAGCAGCATTTTAAAAAGAATCCTCTGGAGGAGAAATGATCAAAGAGAAATTAGAGCAGGGGTTTTCAACCTTACCATGATTGTCACTCTTGGCTGAGTAAGGCTCACTGGATGCTGCCCTGTGCTTCATGCGATTTTATCATCATCCATAACCTCTACTCATTATATGCCCATAGCACCACATCCTCAGTTATGACAACTCAAAATGTCTCCAGATACTATTGCTAAATGTCTCCTGGGGCAAATTTCCCTCTGCTTGAAAACCACTAGATTAAAGGTAGGGAGAGTAATTATTTGTAGATATGAAATAAGAGAGACCTTGACTAAAATGATAAGCACTGATCTATGCAGGTCTTACATACATAGCAAAGAAAGCATATTCAGAATTCCCTCAATGATTCCAGTTTCTAGTCTCTGTAATGGGAAAACACTACTCAAAAAAGAGGAAGTAGACAAGAAAGCACATGTTTTAATAAGGTGAGGGAGATGTGGAAAGAGAGACATTGAGTGGATGATTTCTTCATATGAAACTTCTGTATGTAATAATATCTTAACACTTGCTAAAGTTTTAACAGGTAAGTAAAAGTGAACAGAGGAATAAATGGTACAGAAGTCTATATGGGAAGAATATGGGCAATCCTGACATTTCTCAAGTTGCTTTGTAAATTATGATTTTTAGCCATAACACATACAAATTTAACCTTTGTCAAAATATTAGAAAAGGTCCTTAAAAGTTGCACAAAATTATATCTACCCATAAAGCAAAGGTAATCCTATTTAAGTGAATATCAAACATTTCTGAAAAGTAACAATAATTTTATAGTATAATTATTTACTGATATAAGTAATCTGGATTTTTAAAATTTTATTTCCCTGAAAGTTGAAAACACTATCTGAAAAGTAAAGAAATACCACTAAGTGTCCTTGGCCAAGATCTTAAAACCACTTTATTCCAATATATTTAAGCAAAGGTGGAGGATTTTCTGCCTTTTGATGATCGCCTTTTTATCATTATTGTTAAATGCTCCTGGAAATGCTCACAGCAAAATAGAAAATTCATACAAGGATGTTTTAAATAGGCCTAATTTCAAATGCGCAACCAGGAGGTTTTAATAAATCTAAAGAACTACACTGAAAAGCAAAACTTAATATATACCTCTGTGAAGACCTCTGTTTGACTGTTCTTTGATTATTTTGTGGTTAGGTAAGGCTCTATTATATAAACTATATATCAAGCTTTATGCCTTATAATTATGTTAAGTGTTATTTGTGAAAGTTCCTCAAACTGATTTGGAATTTCACTTCCTCAGCTGGCAGCAATTATACATTCAAAGACCACCAGAAAAAAAAAAAGACCACCAGAAATAATTCTTCAGCTTCTTTTGGGATCTACAAGCTTGTTATGAACACTTAAGCAAGCACATATGAACGTTAAACGCTCCGATAATAAACAAGGCTAGAGGGAAGGCTATTCTTTTCTACTAAAAAAAAAAAATCCTGTTCATAAATGATTCAAGAGCCAAAAGGCAAATAATTCTACCAACATATGCAACTTTATCTGAAGTCAGAGCCACTCTGTGCAGGATTTTGAACTCTAAGGGTACAGCTCACACAAATTACTGACTACTTCTTGCCCAGTCAGTACATTCATCTAACAAAGCAACTTCCATATGAGCAACCACAAACATTTCTGGCTTCAGTTGTTAATCTTCCATGAAAAACTATTTCCATACTATTTTTAACTTGTATATGGTAATGATTATCTGTTTATCTCTGAAGCATGAAAACTCTTACAGTGCCCTTTATAATGTATTTATGTACTGTTATTCCCTTCCCTGTCCTTGGCAGATGGAAGTATTCCTATCTTCCTGCCAGTGACAAAAGTTGAAATGCACAGTGCTTTCTTTTCAATTGGCTCCTTATTTGTTCCCAAATTCTCACACTTTTGGGCCTACTACTAAATGACTTTTCAATTTTACCTTCTTAGATAAAAAATGCAACTGTGTGATACTTGAGGCTAATTAATATGGAACAGTGGAGTAAATGGTAAATTAAATTCTTAATTTACCTGACCACATACATATAAAATTTAAGTTTTAAATATTTTACTATAAATTGGTAATTGATATTAAAGCACAGGAATCATTTCAAGATATTTAAATATAGATCTGAACTAAGGTTTCTTACACGCCTTTACCAAATGCTTTAAATTAACTCATTTAATACACTTAATAACCATATGATATGAATTTTCTTTTATCTCTACAGATGAGGAAAATAAACTTAAAAAAATTTAAGTATCTCATCCAAGTTTACAGAGCAAATAAGTATCCTGTGGATTAAATCCAGTTCCATCTGAATTTCAAAAATAATTTTTTTCTATGATTCCATGCTCCACCCTTTCTGAAGTTCAAGAAGGACCCAGTTACCAACTACACGGACTTCAAGTATGTAGAACTCAAAACACAGTCATAACGTAATGTTAACAGTTACTAAGCAACAAATGGTCTTTATTATTTTTCTTTTTAAGATTTTATTTATTTATTCATGAGAGACAGAGAGAGAGAGAACATGGTCTTTATTCTTAAGGAACTCATAGTATTGGAGACAAATTTTTTTATTTACATGGTGTCTCCACTGCATTCAATGCATGAAATATCATCACTACAGGGAGAAGACTTCATGGAAGAAAGTAGTTATCCATTTTTATTGGAGTAGAATGAGAGGAGGATAGTGGGAAAATTGTGTGTGTGCGTGTGTGTGTGTATACACCTATATATAATATATAACATATAAATAATAAACATATATGGCATATATCTAAATAACATATTATAAATATAAAATAACATACATAAGTAACTTAGATATTATATATTATATATTTATATAAAACATATTTTATTAACTGCATATAAAGTTATGTGTTTAGAGCCAAAAATAAATAGTATTAATTATATGTTTATATATAAACATATACACACATATATACACATACACACACGTATATTTCCGACATATCACATATATCTTTCCACTACCCTCCTTTTATTCCACTCAATAAACAATGGGCACCTACTTTCTTCCATGAAACCTTCTCTGTGAAGTGCTGATGTTCCATATGTCTGCTACACACACACACACACACACACATATACATACACACATATATCCTTTGTGATATATCTACACAATACCTATATCTTAATATATGTATGCATACATTTTAAGATTTCTCTCTAGTTTAAGATCTCTGAAAGTAGTCCTTATATCTAAGACCTCGGAGATCTATAATTTGTGCCATTTAAATTCTGTAATAGAATTTCTTGAAGCATATTACAGAAAACAAGACTACAGAAGCATTATATAACAGAAAACAAGATTAAGATACTATTTCAGAAAGGAGAACTGAGATATTCAACTCTAGTGATCTACACTTTAACCTTTTTGATGTAATTAAGCATGGGAAGGGAGGGGAATAGGTGGACAGAAAGGGACTTTTGCTCTTTATTATACTTCTGTATTTTACAAATTGTTTTATAAACAGTATGGGTTCATGCATTAAGTTTATATTTTTTAATGAAAAGAATACTGAAGATGTATGGTATTCAGAATTAAACTCCCAAAGGAGGACTGAAGTTTAGAGACAGGTACACAAAATCTTCCTTTATTAGCATATGATTAAGAAGACCAGATCTTCACGTAGTTCATAAGCATAATGATTGGCTGTTCATACCATTGTGTGATATGTGTCTCCCTCAAACCTTGTTATGACCTTGGCACTTTACCTGTCTGATATGGGGGGGGGGAATCAAACACTATGTATTACTTAAATTTAATTTTCAGTCATTTTATTCCAAAAAGAAGTTTATTTTTCCCTTCAACTTCCCCTGACACTGTACTTCAGTTTCTCATTAGAATATCCACTGCTTTGGTGGTTCTATTTTTTTATAAGCATTTTGTACTCAAAAATAATGAGAATGAACTTAATAATTCTGTGTCAGATTTATAGATAGCTCTGACCTTTGTTTTTTCATGACCATAGTGTTTGTAGTATACAAACCCATGATGAATTGTATAGCGCATGCTTGCAATTTGCACAAAATATGAGCACTGAGTGCTGATTAAACTAGTAATGCTTTATTAAAACTTCAGGAAAATACCATGTAGGAAAAGTATTTTATAGCATAAGCTTTATTCACTTTTGAAATGACCAAAAATAGATAATATAAATATTAAGACAATAAAATCAACATGCTGTAAAAATAAGCAAGGCTAATAGAACATAAACTATGTCAACTATTCATATATATCTGACATATTTCTCTAATTGAACATATTTATGTGATAACAAGATCATAATTCCTAGAGAATGTCTTGTTTACCTACCACCTACAATAATCTTTCAAATAGAACAAATCTTTCATAGCTTAAATATCTATAATTTCTCAAGAAAAGGATTCGGCTATGCAAGTGTAGAATGGGCAAAGGCACTGAAGCTTGAAGTGAAGGGAAAATAAATTATATAGTCTGAGAAACAGAAAAAATAAATTTGAAGTACCTGCAAAAACTATTAACCAAGTATGTTTTAGAATCATTCAGGAGCTTTTAAGAGATCATCACAGGGTATCAAAATTATGCCCTAAGTCTGTATATACCTGTATTAACTTGTGTTTCATGTTTTATCTTGCATCAATGAGGTGTGTGAGCTTATTATAACTGCAATCCTACAGGAGCATCAAAATGTAAACACAAGGAAAAAAAGGAACTTGGTGACACTAATATACTTCCTAGTTATATAAAATTGTCTATGTATGGTGAAAACATTTAAAAATACATATTCTTCTTTAAAACTATGTTGTCCTTGATGAATGGTAGAAAGAATCATCAGTTAAAATATTTACTGAACATTTTAAAGGACCTGTTCACTCTCTTTCTCTGAGTAGATCACTTTCTATGAGAAAGCCACAAGGCTAGTAATTGAGGAAGAGGAAGAGTGGAGTATAGTCAAGAATAAAAGGAGGAGGAAACAGCCAGTCTAGTAGAAGAGTGTGACCTTGGGTATCTCATTAAAGTTATCCATTCTCATTTTCTTTTTCATCTGCAAAATAGGGACAACAAAACCTGACATTTCCACCCCTGAACCTACCCCACAGATAACAGAATTTTTCTAAGGTTTAAATGGGTGATTTGAGAAAGTCCTCATCAAATATAACATTTTAAAAAAATAACTCTTAAAAGTTAAATGACTCTGTATCATGAGTTTTTTTTCCAAGTAAATAGTATTGATGCTAAAATAATTGAAAACAGCAATGTGATACAGCAATCAAATGCTTTTTTCTTTCTCTTGCAACAAAACTATACCCACCTTCAGACTGCTGGTGCTTGGCATATAGTAGGCACTTAAAAAAAAAAAAAACTTGATCAATAAAGGAAAGAATGTAAAATACATCTCGTGTCACCCAGACTGAAATCTGTTATATGGCTTAAGAGTTAATAATATTACTTAAATAATCCCAATTTAGATACTTGGCAGAACTTTCTACATTGCAATTCCAAGACTAACCATCAATAGTTGCATTGTTTTTCCAGAGCAGAAAACCTGCAACAAAATACAAAGAAGTGCCATAGTTAACAGACTCACAGGTCAGTCAACCATACTTCCCACAGACATAATTAAATTTAAGATTAATATTAGTTTGCCATTATTGAATTCCTTGTTAATAAAAAGTCAAGCAGAATCATTGCTTATAATAAAGTATATTCAAAGAAATACTGTACAGGCAAGGGCAAAAATATAAGTACTGTATAGTATTCATTGACTTACTATTATACAATAGTTTTTAAAAAGTATTATTTTTACATATATAAATTAATAGGCAGAGACTTAAAGAAATAGACTATAAAGCTGAACTGCCTCAGATGAAGAATCAGGAGCAGCAGTGACACTTTTCTTTTCTGACCCCTTCACCATCTAAAGAAGGCCTGTGAGCAATGGGTCAGATATTTCTCTAGAACAGTTTCAAAACCATGGCCTTTGATAATCCTTTTTATCTCAATCTCATAGGAACAGCCTTTCTAATTCATGGAAAATTTTGGTGAGGTCTGAATATTTCTCAATATCTCCTATGTATCTGTTTCAATGATTCAGGACACATTTATTTATAAACTTCTGCCATTTTTAACAACAGGTAAGTCTTTAACATTGGGGGGGGGGGCAGAAAGCCTCGGGCAGTATATGCCTCAGGCAGTGAAGATAGGCGTGACAAAAAAAAAAATAGGCGTGACACATTTCACAGGAAAAAGAAACCAGTGCACAACATGCTGCATGTTAATCCTTAAAACTGGTCAATGGATCTGAGGTTAAGAACCTTTGCTTGGCTGATCCTTCCTAATTGTCCAGCACCTTCCTCCTTCCATGTCAGTTGTGATCTTATACCAGCGGTTGGCAAACTATGGTTCTCATCACAAATCAAGGTTACTTATTCTCTTTGAAATGTGCCATTGGAACAGGGCCAACCATTCATTTACAGTTTGTCTGTGGCTGTTTTTGTGCTACAGTGGTAGAGATGAGGACCCACAAAGCCGCTGTATCTTCTTTCACCTTTTATAAGAAAAATTATTTTATGATACTTTATTAAAAATACTTTGACACCTAGGCTTTACTTATACAATTTCTTTTTTTAAAGATTTTATTTATTTATTCATGAGAGACAGAGACAGAGAGAGAGAGAGACAGAGAGAGAGAAAGGCAGAGACACAGGCAGAGGGAGAAGTAGGCTCCATGCAGGGAGCCCGATGTGGGACTTGATCCCAGGACTCCAGGATCACGCCCTGGGCCAAAGGCAGGCACTCAACCGCTGAGCCACCTGGGCTACCCCACTTACATAATTTCTTAAATATTTTATCAACACTTGATGTCTGGATTCATGCAAAATACCAAGAATCCAGTTTTCTGTGTTTTTCTTCTCTATTTATGTAAATGAGTTAAGAAGAGACCCTAGAAGGAGCTAAAAGCTGTACAGAACTTTTGATTTGCTTTCTTACAAAGACCAACAAATCTAAAGTATTAAACATAAGAGATTTAAGTGAGCTATGTAAATATGAATATTAAAATACCTCATTTTACAGGGCACACCAAAAAGGCATCATATATCCTACCATTCACTATAATTCTTCTCCTTCCCAGGCTAGTCATTATCAGAGTGCTAGGAAGATTATTTATTTAACTACATTTCAAATTGCTTGATGAGAAAAGCCACAGCGAAGTATGTGTATGAGTAATTTTAGACAACCCTAGATCTTCCACTGAATACAAAATATGCATGTATTCATCTTAATTTAAACAAAGGACCATAATTAATATGAAAAGGTTTCTGATTTCAACAACAAAGTTCTCTATTGTATTAAATAGATTATACAGTAAAAGATTATACATTGAGCTAGTAATTCAAATATCAGTGCTAATTAAACTACTGATTTTGAACCAGTCATGGAAAAACAATTTTTTCAAAATATTCCCCATTTCTTAAAAAAAAAAAGTAGTCTTTGTTAAGAATTTTCCACATTTATATTTATACACTAATAATTTGAATTCTTGGGCTACATTCCTCATCTACTCAAAATGCACCATCTACACTGCAAGTATAGGTCTGTAATAAATCTCTTGAGAATAATGTATAATTCAAAATTCTATCCTGTGTTAAATTCTAATGAGGTTTTAAGTACTTCTAGATTTTAGCACATTAATGCATTATAAAGTCACCAGAGCAATCAATCTCAATCCTAGTTCACCTATAATTTAGTTTCTTCTTCCTCAAATAAGAATTTTAGTAAGCTTTCACCAAGATGATTTAAAAATGAATAACAAATGCTTCAATAGATCAAGAAAAAAGTTATAGTAAATATTTGTATCTGGGTAGGCTTGGCAGTTTTATATTCTATGTGAAGCTCATGGTTAAAAAATGAGGTTGGAAAAAAAATCTAAGATATTCTTTAACTTGTAATTGGCTGAGTCAATGAATACAAAGCACTGAGAAGAGCCCCTGCCATATGGCAAGCAGGATACAAAGTCCCCATCATGACCATGAGAAACATGACCACTATCTCAGTCTCAGAAATAAAACTACACAACCAAGAAAACCTCACCTATATATAAGCTTCCTCTCTGGGCGTGAAGTACTTGAAGATGAAAATGACTTGAAATATATACTTCTGGGTATTTAGAGATACAACTTTTCATTATTCAGGAAAGATTTTATCGTAAGACACCTAGAGAATTAAAAACTTCTCTTATGCAACAACTTTGAGACACAAGTCAGTAAAAATCTAAGGCAAGAAAAGTGTAGCACAGGAACCTACGGATATGCATGGGATCCATCTAAGCTAGGGGTTAAATAGTATGTTAAGTGTCCAAGGATACAAATTCCTAACTGGAGAGAAAAGTACAAATAAGGTTAATGGATGTGCAACTGCCACTTACATCTAAGAGAAATTGTTGAATGAGGAACATTTAATTCTGGTTGAAGTCATAGTAATAAAGTCTACTTCTGATAGGGGAATGGCTGACTAGTATGGTTTTCACAGTCATGTGCAAAACACTAACGTACCTATCATCATTGTCTCCTAATAGCAGCAGAATGCAGTAACAAGGGCACGAGCAATGGAATCTACAGGTGTGGTCAGATATTTTAGCTATGGGATGTAGGACAGTGTTCGAAAAGACATTACTGGAGGGACCACCTATAAAACCACCCCAGCAACTCTCCAGAGGTAAGCAATGTCTGAATAACCGTGGT